CGCACCCCGCACCGCACCCCGCACCGCACCCCGCACCACCCGGACCGGTGCTCCCGCCACTCCCGCCCGTCCCTCGCACCGGCCTCGAGGCGGCCCCGCGCCCGCCCAGCGGAGGCGGTGAGGATGGTGAGGGGACCGGACCATCTCTGAGGGAGCTGGGGCTGTGCAGCCTCGAGGGGAGACACTGAGAGGGGACTCCATCCATATGTGTCAGTGCCTGCAGGGAGGGGGCAGAGCACGGACCAGGCTCTGCTTGGGGGGCCCAGCAATGGGACACGAGGGACGGGCAGGAATTGATGCCCAGGAAGTTCCACCTGGACATGAGGAAGAATTTCTTCCCTGTGCAGTGACCAAGCACTGAACAGAGACCAGAGAGGGTGTGGAGTCTCCTCACTGGGAATGTTCCAGAACCATCTGGACACAATCCTGTGCCATGTGCTCTGGGATGGCCCTGCTGGAGCAGGACATGGGACCAGGTGACCCCCTGTGGGCCCTTCCAGCCTGACCCATCACGGGAGGGCCGGGGCTGTACCAGGGAGGCCCCAGGCCAGGCTCAACCCGAGGGAGGGAAGGAGGTGTCGGGTGAGTGGCAGCCATTGCCAAATGTGCCCAGGAGTGTGATGGGATGAGTCAGGGAATCCGGAGGGGCGTCAGAGGACATGTGTGATTTACACACTGCCAATCTCAGAAATACAAATTCTCCATGTTTGGGGTTAATTTCCTGAAGCCAAGGCAGCACCCAAAAGGCGTGTGTGTCATGTTCCTGTGGGTCCTGTGCACACGTGCTCACACACACCTGTGCAGAGACACTGGACTTCACTTTTTAGAGCAGGAACATCTGGATCAGGACAAGACCCCACATGTAATTCTTCCTTGTGGAAGACCTATCTGCTCAAGACCTCTTCAACAATCGAAGCTGAGTTCTAATAGCACAGTAAAAAACCCTTCAGAAGTGAAAGGGAATGATGGTTTTTGATACTTCAGAAAGACACGAGCACTTGGAGGATGAAGTAAAGTGTAATCCTTCCATCCTCAGCTTTCAAACCCTTTCTGGTTCAGTGACACACTCGAGTTCAGCCTTACAGTGCTAAAAAGGAAAGTCCACGTGTTTGAAGCATTACCTGAAGTGCAGAAGAAGAGAAAACTTGTCACCAATTACTGAGACTTCGTATAACTCAAGGATCTCCTGCGTATTCAAGTGGCTGATGTCCTGGCAGTGCGTACACGCTGTTTATCACAATTCACTTAAATAGCTTTTATGAAGAATTTAGTGACATGTTGTTGTGTCTGGGAGGCTGCTTTGACACTTCCTCGTTCAGTGGGATGTAGAATCCACTACTTGTCACCGTCTGCAAGTGACACCGTGGTTTCACTGGATGCTTCCATGGCATCTTCTCATCGGTGGATATAAGTCACTGAAGGAGTCTTTGTTCTACATGGAAATGTAAATAAAAAAGTGGAAATACGCAAAACTTACCTGCAAAACCAAAGCTGGTGCTCTGACATTAAAAGGGCTCCTGGAACTGAGGTACTTCCAAAGTTCCTCTGCAACACGTGTGAAATACCTCTGGAGGAAGGAAAGCAAAGAAAGGTGTTTTGTTTTTCTGTAGCAACATCATTTTGCCTTCCAAGAGTGGATACTTTTTCTTTGATGGCTTCAATGTTGGAAAACATTTCTGAAACCTTGTTAAGTCAGGACTGTGTTCAGAAACTCTCAACTTCATGGCTGCTTGAGCCAGTCTGTGCCAGCCTAAAGCACACAACCCCAAATTTAAGCACCTTCCTATTTCAACACTCTTTTATTTGTGCTTTACCAGCGACCACTCTGGAGCCATCACTTAAAGCAAAGAAAATACAACAACTCCAGGAAAACAATCCACAGACCTTCTAATCTGAGGGTTGAATTTGAGAAAACAGGTGAGTGTCTGAAGGTTGGAGGAACGGAGTGTAGAGGAACATCATAATGCAATTGGAAGTAGAAATTATATTTGATACATATTTAAGGGAATGAACACAACACGAAGATCTGTGCAAAGGATATAATAGCACAAGCACAAACAATAGGAGTCCAGGCAGGAGAACTTTCTCGTTTTTTCTCCTGTGTGTGCAGAGTGAGGTGAACAAAATGAAGCAAAAGTTGATAGTAATAGTTTTAATATACTTTTTATATCACAGAAGTGGGTATTGTTTCTCACACTAGAAAAATCAGTAAAATCACAGCACTGTAGGAGACTAAACACTCACACCAGAGGGGAGACAATTAGCACTCCCAAGTTGAATAGGTTTAATTGCATTTGTGGTGGTGATTCAGGGCAGAATTGTGCTAGTTTAGGAGCAGCATTATGCTTATTTTTTATTCAAATACAAAATAATTAAGACAACTCTTGATGGCTTTACACATAATTAATTATATAATAAATACAAGTAAGTTAATCAGCGTTAAGATCACTGGCCTCACAATGCTCTTTAAGACCCACTAAGCCACCCACCTTCTGAGCTGTGGCACTTCATCATCTGTCAGCATTCTCCAACCTTCTTCCATGAAGTTGGCTTTGGGAAAAGTCACAAGGAAGGAACCAAATTTAGTCTGTATCAGGATAAAAGTAGGGAAGAACAATTCCTTGGCACAGAGTACCCTCCTTTTCTACTTGTTTTTTCAAAGGATACTACTATTGAGCATGTCTGTGATTAGAGATGCTTAGGATAGATTTGCTTGGTTGGGATAACTTGAAAGCCCCTTAGTCAGACCAATAGGAAATTTATCTGTCAGAAGTAGCAAATTAATTTCTGTTGGAAGCTGGTCAGTCAAGTATTCTCTCATTTGGGAGTGATGTGACAAACTACACTTCTGTGGATACCTTACAAGTTGTCAGTGCTTTCAGAAGCACTGCATTCAGGTAGGATTTACTGCATGAGAGACATTGATTAGAACTAAAACATTAGAACTTCAGTCTTTCTGTCATTGATCGCTTCCAAGCAGCTTGTCTTTTCCATGTCCCCTGCACTATACAGTAAGGAATGTCATTATTTTGACAGGATCCACCCATCAGAAGTGCTGCCATGTCCCTTCTTTGCAAGGCAGGCAGAATGGATCCTGGGCTAGAAGTGGGAGCTCTCCAGACACGCTGCAGTCACGACGTGAGCTTCACATGTACTGAGTAAATCTGGTTGATTCCTTCCTGGGGATCCCCCAGCACAGACGTAGTGGGACAAAAGAGCCTAAAGCATTCCCGGGGACTGCAGGAGCTCAGTCAACATCTTTCCTGCTCTGGAGCAAAAGCACAAGCATCCTTTAGTGCTCAGATCTTCCCCTTCCTGAGAGCACAGCATTTGAGGAGCTGTGTTAGAGAACCACCCTCGGCTTCTCAGCTGTGGTTTTGTCTGGGTTCACCTGCTGGGGCGTGACATGTTTGCAAAAAGTCAGAACAGGAAAGAAGTTTGTGAGCCAAACACAAGGTGGTGAAGGTGGTGTTTATTTATTATGATGCACCTTTGGTACCAGTTTGTTGAACAGTCAGTGCAACTACCCTTGCAGGGATAACACTATTTTATGCTCTTTGCCCTCTGCTGCTTTGTTGAAATCACTCTCTCGGACTGAGTTTTCAGATCTAATTTTGGATTAAAAGCTGCAATTTGGTCTTCTCTCTCCAGTTTCAATGTATTTCCTCCTGAACAGTGACAATCACAGTCTGTAAGAAAGTTACAAATTGCCACAAGGTCTGGAGAAATAAGATAAAATGTGGCAGGAACAGAGGAAGAGATGATGCTCATAAAGTTTTTGTGCTTTGCCAGTAGTTACCTTGTTTACTCGTGTCTTCTGCAGCATGAAGTGGAGGTAACGTCATAAACAATGAAAAGTTTGATAAGGATTCCTCTCCTCTGCACATCCCCTGTTCCTGCTGCTCCCAATATTACCATTTGCCTGCAGCTCTGGAATGCCAGCCCCTGAAATCTGTTGCTGAAGTCACCCATGTATTGAACTGAGCAGGCAATCTGTCATTTCATTCCTTTGTGCCAAGATTTCAATCCATGCTTATGCTTGGAATCCTGATAGACCCTTAAGTAAATATTATTGATTAGTCATCGTTATTTTTTACTGTTGATATGCAGAAGGTTGTGGAACCTTGCGGTTGGATTTCTACACAGTCCACTGGAAAATATGTTTGATTATTGTGTTTGTATTGGCAGCTGGGTACATCCTTATTGCAGGCTGAGATTAGAGCCTCATAAAGATTTCACAGAGAACCCAAACCAAAACAGAAGCCAGCTCCTGCCAACCTCAGATCAGACAAACCCTCACCCAAACAGGCAGGGATCTTGCTTTGGTCCTGGTTTCACATTCTCTTGGGCACATTAACCTTGTGTGTCTGAAGTGGTTTTGTCCCAGCTTCAGGATCCCAATGGTCTGGGTCAGAGGGATTGAAACGGCTTGGCCTTGTGAATCACAGACCTAAATCTGCTCAGGGGAAACTGAAATGTGTGTTACCTTCTTCCCCCCTTCATTAAACATGCCCAACCAAATATATCCATGATATACACTGATTTGAGCCAGGAAGCAATTAAAGCTCCTGTTCTTGCCAAATGATTGAGTGCTTGCAGACACAGATTCCTGAGAAAGTATAACAGAGAAAGTGCATTAGCAAAGTATTTGTGCCTTCATAGGAAATGAATATGGATGTAATTAAGAAAAGCTGATTTATGTAGAACTGTAAAACCAGGGACATAAAATGAAAAATTCTCTGTAAATGTCAAGTCAGTGTTTCGTGGTGGCCAAAACAAGGCAAGTGGAGAATTGCAATGGTATTAAGAAAGGAACTGAGAATTAAAATGCCACTTTATAAATCCCTAGTACATGAATATTTAAGACATTGTATGGAGTTCTAAGCACCTGAACTCTAAAGATCATAGAACTGCTGTTCTACTACAGTCTGCTAGTAACACTTGGAGAATGGCAAGTGTAGTGTGGCTTCTCTGGGGACATGAAAAAGGCAAGACTGAGTATGATGAGAGGATAAGCAGGGTCTGTAAAGTAATAGGAAAGGGAAAATGGGAACAAGAATAGGGAACATAGAATCACGAAATGGTTTGAGTTGGAAGCAACCTAAAGTTCATTTAATCCCTTGCCCTGCCATGGGCAGGGACACCTTCCACTAGCCCAGGTTGCTCCAAGCCCTGTCCAACCTGGCCTTGGACACTTGCAGGGGTGGGGCAGCCACAGCTTCTCTGGGCAACCTGTGCCAGGGCCTCCCCACCCTCATAGCCAAGAGTTCCTTCCCAATATCCCATCTAACCTGCCCTCTGGCAGTGGGAAGCCATTCCCCTTTTCCTATCACTGTGTGCCCTTGTCCCCAGTCCCTCTCCAGCTCTCTCAGAGCCCCTTTAGGCCCTGGAAGGGGCTCTCAGGTCTCCCCAGAGCCTTCTCTTCTCCAGGTGAACCCCCCCAGCTCTCCCAGCCTGGCTCCAGAGCAGAGGGGCTCCAGCCCTTGGAGCATCTCCATGACCTCCTCTGGACTCGCTGCAGCAGCTCCACGTCCTTCTGCTGTTGTTCCCCAATTTGCATTCTAGCAAATGATCAGCATTTTGTAAATTTAAATAAACATCTAAACCCTCACTATTTAGTCATTAAAAACTTTGTACCTGTTTTCAACTTAAAATATTGGGGCTTGCCATGAAACCTCCAAACGAAACATAAATAGATGAAACCTCTTATTGGAGATTCAGTGCCCCTGTGGACCCAGAGACATAACTCTGCACATATTATTAGATCTGATTAGCCTGCACCAAATTAAATTATGTATATTTGGAAAAATTACAGGCAAATGTCACAAAATGTACAGTTCAGTCACTGTGATCCAGTTACATGAAGATTCGAAAACTTACAGCTACATTTTTTGTTATTTATTATTTTTAAGCGAATGAAATATGAAACATTTGCTCTGAATAGTCAGAAAAGGAGAAACTGAATCTGTACAACTCCACTAAAGAACAAAGGAAGAGCTCTAAAGCAGCCCACTAGGAAATAATCTTTGTTTTAAAGTTTTACTTATTTTTATCAATGTGATAAAAGACTATCTGAAAATATGAATTTATCATTTATCTACAGACTTTCTAAATTTATTTTTCAAATAGTAACAACTGTATCTGATGTGCTAAAGGAATGCAGACAAACACAAGCCAAATAGGCAGCATTTTCAAGACATTTGTGGCTTCTCCTCTCCTACCATTAATTTTCTGATACAGGTACCCACAGAAAAATCCTCCCCTGCCCCCAACAAAAGGACATCATTTTTCATATCTATAAAGCCATTATCAGAATAATGTCACCCTCCTCCCCAATGCACATTTGATTGCAAGGGCTTTGGAATTTCTGAGTTCTGGCTCTATCAAACCATGAAAAAAACTGGTATTGCTCCATTTGTGTTTCCTTCCACAGGATCTGGAGCAAATACAGACTTTAGATTGCAATTTGTTATTTGACAAAAGAAAAAAAAAATCTCAAATATCTTCAGTGTGGTGAACTGGGTCTTCTGTTACCCTGAACTTTTGTGAGGTGCCAGGCTCCTGTTGTACAGACTCCAAAACTATTTAGTTTCTAAAGGAGGTAAGAAAAGGGACTCATCTCCTTCTGGACCAACACACAGAATACAAAATTATTCCACATACAATTCTCTTTCTTATCCAAAGAATATTCCTTCTTTCCAGTCTAGGAACAAATCACTGTACTCTGTATTAACTCTTAAACTACACCAGGTGTTATCAGATCTGTAGAAACATGTAGCTGTTTTAAGACATGTGCTGAGGAAAGAAAGGACACTAATTTAAAGGACATTCATTTAAATTAATATCTACAAACCACAGAACAAAGATAAGAAATTCCATTGGGTTGGTTTTTTCCTGTCCTTGCTTGTCTTTATTTCAGAATCCTCATTAGCTTCTGCTGAATAATGATTCATTTCCAAATGCAAAGGATCATTGAGCTTTGTGTTCTTTATTAAGACTTCGTTGTTTTTACAAAAATAGAAAATCATTAGCCTTTATTAGTTTTTAGTTTAACGTACAGTTGCTTTCTTTTGGAAGGAGCATTCTGGGAGACAGTGGATTTAGTTTACTGTTGGTGGTTTGTTTAATTGGTAGCTTATAGCAGGTCTTCTGGTCATCACACAGATTATCAAGCTTCTGCTGTTATATAATAAAAACTACACAGATGTCAGAAAATGTTTGACTAAAAAAGTCAATTTAGGACAAACCATCACGTTGTGGCAAACAAGGTCAAGAGCCCCTTTAGGAAGGAGACTATTTCATTGCCTCCCAGTTTGGATTCTCCATAGACACGGTCCACAAATGAAATAGGAACCTGTTGAAACAAGCAGAACTATTTTTAAGGTTCAAAACCTAAATAATCAGAGATTCTCTACACAAAAGAACGGCCTTTGAACTACAGCATTTTCAGACATGGGAACAAGGCAAGCACCAGACTGGCTTCCTTTGTGTCAGTTCCTCCCAGTGGCTGAGGAGCATGAAATTATTTGGTTTATCATCTCTAAAGATGATCCCAAGACATTACTCAGTGGCTGGGTGGTAGGTAGTCAGAACAGCCTCAGTGTTTTAAGCCTGAGGGCTTAAAATCAACCTCCAGCACTTTCCTTGTTAATTCAGTACCTTTGAGTCAGTGCCCCAGGAAGCACAAATCTCCCAGCACCGTGGAACAGCTCAGCCTCACCCCTGGCTGGGAGATGACTTCTGAATATGAAGAACTTTGTAAAATTGTATACAGCTAAAGGAGTGGCAACAGGAAGAGGGAGGGAATCTCAGAATCTTATCAGCCAGGGGAATAAGGAACTGGAAATTCAGATCCGGTATTCACCTGGCAAAGTTGGGAAAGTACAGTTCTACACATGGAATTTCTTTATATTAGTTTGAAAATCTTGGCTGCTTCTTGGGAGCACACGAAATTCAGTAATCTGTGTGCCCCTTTACACAAAAGCACAAGATCCCTATCAAACTTGTCCTGTACCTCTCCAATGGTGTATCCCAACTGCCTGGCCCGAACAATCATCTCCATCTGGAAGACATAGCCTTTAGAAACACATTTCTCCATGAGTTTCTGTAAGACTTCTTTTCTGTACAACCTGTAAACAGTTACAAAGAAAATGAAACCTGAAGCACAATTTTCTGAAATTTGGAAATCAAGGCAGTGTGTGGGAATCTCAACTGCAATCCCTCACTCATCTCATTACTATTTATAAAATCTTTAACAAAGCCATAGGAGCAGCAGTTCTTGCAATCTAGTCCACTATTTCTTCCACCTTTCCCAAACAGATTTCACAGCCCTCAGTAAAGAAGGGCTGTTCTTACTCCAGTTCCTTGTTCAGCAATTTCTTAATTTCCAATGAACTTTATTAATTGCAAACCAGAGCCATACCTGAAACTCCCCGTGAGGTCTGATGCTCCTGGTCTCAGCAAAACCTGAGTCAGAAAATTGGCACCACGGCTGGGAAAGAAAATGTGAATGTCAGAGTTGCCCAGCACACAATTCCCAAAGATCAAGTAGAATTTCTAAAAAATAAGTACGTATCATCCCCCCTCCCAAAAACCAACAAAACTTTTATTGCTTCCTAGGAAGAAAATTAGATTTC